AAAATAAACTCCCCCCCTAACCCCCACCCCCCACCCCCCACGTCCTAAGAACTTAAAGCCAAAGCGTAATGGCGAACAAGGCAGCCTGAAGCGGTAGATTACACGGCCGGCACCACCAAGGTCGACCGAGCTGTGATAACTCTATGAATTATGGCCTTTATAGATGCTCTCTGGCGGCCGCGACGTGATATGGTTATAAATGATGGCGCTGCACACGAGGAAAATTATGGGGGGAGGGGGGGGGTAAAGCGGGAGTGGGTGTTGGAGTGGGTGGCGGGAGAGGGGTGAGTGGGTGGGGAATGGGTGGGTAGGTGGGGGGTAAGGAGAGGGGGAGAGGGGGGAGTGGGGGGAGGGGGGGTAGAGGCGGAGTGGGAGAAGTGGGAAGGGGGAGTGGGGGAGAGGAGGAGGAGTCGGGATAGGAAAGGGAGAGTGGGTAGGGGAGGGTGTGGGTGTGTGGGGGAGGGGAGGGAGAAAGTAGAACAGGAGTGGGGGGAGAAGGGGAAGTGGAGATGGGGGGAGGGGGTCAGTGGTAGAGGCAGGGGTAGTGGAAGAGGCAGGGCGAGGCAGGGGAAGGGGTGGGGAAGGATCTTAATGGGTGAGATTAAGGGAAGGCAGGATTGAACAAAGGGAAGGAGAGAAAGACCCAGGAAGCGTTGGAGCGAAAATTAATGAATAGACAAGCGTATGAGCGTCTATGTGTTGGTATACATACATGCATCCATACATACATACATGTATATATATATATGCTGATGTGTGTATATGTATATATATATATGTGTGTGTGTGCGCGCGCGCGCGCGCGGTGTGTGTGTGTGTGTGTGTGTGTGTGTGTGTGTGTGTGTGTGTGTGTGTGTGTGTGTGTGTGTGTGTGTGTGTGTGTGTGTGTGTGTGTGTATATATATACATATATATATATATATATATATATATATATATATATATATATAGAGAGAGAGAGAGAGAGAGAGAGAGAGAGAGAGAGAGAGAGAGAGAGAGAGAGAGAGAGAGAGAGAGAGAGAGAAGGGATAGAGAAAGAGAAATGGAAAGAAAAAAGAGAAAGAGAAATGGAAAGAAAAAAGAGAAAGAGAAAGAGAGAAGAAAAGAGAAATAGAGAAAAAAAGAGAGAGGAAGAAAGAAAGAAAGAAAGAGATTGGGGGAGGAAAAAAAAAGATTAATAAATAAAAACTTCACGGTCCGGTAAACCTACAGCTTCGTCTATACGTATCGACAAGAGAGCAAAATGAAAATAAAAACATGATGTGAAAAAGCAATATGAAACCCAACAACGTAGCAAATATATTAAATCAACAAAAGTGAGAATCAACAAGTTGGAGAGTGAGTGAGAACGTTCAATATAGAAGGAAATAGAGAGAGAGGGAAATAGAGAGAGAGGGGGAGAGAGAGGGAGAGAGAGAGGGAGAGAGAGAGAGAGAGAGAGAGAGAGAGAGAGAGAGAGAGAGAGAGAGAGAGAGAGAGAGAGAGAGAGAGAGAGAGAGAGAGAGAGAGAGAGAGAGAGAGAGAAGAGAAAGAGAGGGAGAGGGACAGAGACAGAAAGACAAAAAAATAGATAGACAGTTAAACATACGACGAAATACGAAATAGCAAAATACATTCATGGAACACAACTGAGACGAGGAAGAAGGGAAGGAAGAGAGCAGAAAAGGAGAAAAGGAAGGAAGGAAGGAAGGGAGGAAGGGAGAAGGCGAAAGAAGAAAGGGGAAGAGAGGAAGAGGCAAGAAGGTGAGAAGGATAGAAGGAGGAGAGTAGGAGAGGAAAGTAGAGAAGGAAGAAAGAGACTAGAAAGGGGAGGGTGAAAGGGAGGAGAAGGGAAGGAGGCGAGGAGGAGGGAAGAAGGAGAGTAGGAGGGAAAAGTAGAAAAGGAAGGGAGAAAGCGGAAAGAGGAGGGAGAAGGAGAGGGGAAGAAGAGGAGAAGAAGAGGAGAAGAGAAGGAGAGGAGAAGAAGAGGAGAGGAGAAGAAGAGGAGAGGAGAAGGAGAGGAGAAAGGAAGGAGGTGGGGAGCGACAGAAGAGGAAGAAGACGCGACTGGGAAAGTGGAAGGGGAGAGAAAGGGAAGAGTACGAAAGGAAGAGAAAAGGAGGGATAGATTGAAGGAGGAAGGAAGAAGGAAGTAATAAGGGGTAAGGGATAAAGGAGGATGGGAAGGAGTGAGAAAAGGGAAGGGAGAAGAAGGGGGAAAAGAAATGAGAGAAAAAGGGAAAAAATAGGAAAGAAGAAATAAATAAAAGAAAAAAAAAGGTAAGGAGCAAATATGAGACAAAAGAGACAAGGTAAAAATGGAAGAAAGAGAAGAAGAGAGGAGAGAAGGGAAGAAAAGAAATGAAGAGATAAAAGAAGAGAAAAGGTAAAATGTACGAAAGGGGAGAGAAGAGAAGAAAAAAAAGTGGAAAGGAAGAAGAGACGATAGGGGAAACCAAAGACAGGAAAAGAGTGGAAAGGAAAAGATGCAAGAAAGGAGAGAGCAAAGAGGGGAAAAGAG